AAAATTCCGACGAGATATTAAACACTGTATCTCGAAATAATTGGTATCGCAGAAGCTGCGAGACTAATGGGAAAATCAATATCGCTTCCAGTTCTCGAATATTTTCGCGAACTTTACGACACGCGTCCGCAGTAAAAATTCTTTCTTTGGAACGTCTCGCAATTTTAGTATGTGCCCCGACGATCTAACGAAGGTTTACGACCGGTACTACCTCCAAGAAAATTCCTAACAAGATTACGTATTACGTGTGCCCTCCAGCTTGCGCGATAGCGTTACGTAAGCCACCCCTGGAATCGACCGTCCCCCAAGAACAGCTATAGTTTTCGCGAGAAGTATGATGCACTCCCTTGAATCTTCGTTACAGCATGTACCACGTTCGTTGCTGTATGTTTCGCTACATTCCGCGTGATTATGCTGTCTCTGATTATACTCCCGCAATATTTACTGCTTCGTCGTTATACCGCTTTCCTTTTACAATTCCGTATTCTAGAATACCTTCCAATGATGTTAACGCGTTTACTACCGTCGTTTACCAACTGCTCGACTTCGTTATTGAAATGTTTCATCAAAAGCAACGTACCCGGTGTGCAAAATGTTAGGAAAATGTGGCAAATAAGAGTTATGAACTCGCTGATTACGATGCTGAATGCCATGATTTACCGTGAATTTATATGTATACCAACATGTACAAAATCCATTTTTTCACGTAAATCAAAGCATAATGCTGGTAACCAAACGTATTAAAGATCAAATTTGTTGTATCAAGGATGTATTGTTTACACGAATAGTTCTCTAGTCAAGAAAAAATTTAAATTATTTTTTTCTTTAAATTTAGTTCTTTTTTAATTTTGTTATATATTTGAAAGAATCCCTCTGTGAAATCCTAAATATTCTCGTTATATACTTGTTATCAAAATCTTATTGTCGGTTTTGCAAATATTAAATATTTTTTTTCTCTTCACGATTCTCCCCAATTTTCCTTCAGCTTGCAAACAAAAATGGACAATTTGGGAAAAGGACATATGATTATTCAAGCTTCGCGGTACAGTAATGTCTCTCTAATTGACGCTCCGATTGTCCACAAAAATGGACAATTTGGAAAGAGGAGATACGATTATTCGTTCCTTGCGGTTCATTATTATAGTCACGAATTGTCAACCACTATAAAAACGAGCTTCAAGGCTTGAATAATTGTATCTCCTCTTCCCAAATTGTCTATTTTTGTGGACAATCTGAGCATCAATAAGAGAGACATTATTATACCTTTTTATAGTTGCCGATTGAAAACAATTATAAAAACGAGATGCAAGACTGAAATAATCGTATCTCGTTTTCCCAAATTATCCATTTTTGTTTACAAGCTGTAGGAAAATTAGAACAGCGACGATGAACCAGCCTGTGGACCGTGACCGAGAAGAAAAAATTCGGGTAGGCGTCACGATATTTTGAAGCATGGCCAGCTGCCGCGTGTCTTCTCGCCTCTGTTTCGCAATGCCGGGGCTATTATTCTTAGGAGTCGCGCGAACACGAATTACGGTGGGCGCCACCCTGCGCCGTAAATCAGCCGGTTCGAAAGAATTTCCGGTACACAGAATTTTTGTAGTCAATCATCTTCTGCTCGACCGTAATTTTAGCAACATTCTTGCATCACGTTGTAACGTCGTGATTCACACGGATTCGACATATTTTCGTTGCCTGGGCCGCTCGTGATGTGAACAAAGCGTTTCGTTCGCCCCGCGGTGGACTCAGCTGGTTCCTACTTGCGGTTTCGTTGATTCTCGCGAGAGGATTGTTTGCGGTTTCGAGCTCATTGTTTGTGCCATTCTTTGAAATCAAACAAACGATATTTAACGAGGTGTTCGATGTTTACTGACGCGCGCCATTTCCACGAATTTCCCTTCGGACTGTCCGCGTTCGTGAAATTTCTTTTCCGCGTAAATCTCAGTAGGAAAATCGCAAGATGCGAGCTTCGATTTTTTTTCCGACGACAATCTCAATATTTCTTTTACAGCTCGTTTGGTAAAGTAATTTTAATTTTGTTGCTCTAACTTGTCCGATTTGTTTGGCGCATCCCTCGAACGAAAGTTGTTCGTTTTTAAACAGTGTTCGAATATTATGATGAATAATATTGATGGGAAGCAGTGTTTGCGAAACAGTCGATTATTTTTACCTGCCGCCTTCTATTTTAAGTCAACGGTGTTAGGAACTCGGACGTGAGAATTGTAGAGCATACTGACAAAGCATACATCGCTGACCAGTTAATCTCGAAAGTTGACAGTGTCTGAAATATTTTCTACCGCAAACTCGCGACAGCTATTAATAATCATCCTCGTTGTATAACGTTGCAGCAGCTAAAATTACATCATCGATCGAATCGTTCATTTCTGTCGGCATTCAAATCGAGACCCGATCGATTCATACTTTATTCATCTGATACCACTGTGAAGCAGAATTCAGTTAATAATTCTTGGCGAGAAATTTTCGCAGCTCTCTGCTAGCGAAAACTCGAATCTGGATATTTCAAATGGATACACAGTTTGATAACACTCGTCGAGGGCAACTTTACCTTTTAACACGTTCCGTGCCGAGCTTTTTTTACTCGAATCTTCACACTTTGATATTTTACTAAAACTTGATGTATTACGTGGAATTATTAATTCTCGTACACATAACAGCGTAACAAAAACTTATCAACGCCCATTCTTGCGGTGGAAATTGATTCTTCGGTTCTAAATTTCTTGTAAACAATTTGTTCAGTTCACTAAGTAA